AAAAAAAGTAGCAGTTTGTAATAGAGAGAGGGCCCTAATTTTGGGAGAAATATTGAAGAAAATCATTCCTTCCGCGCTTCAGATCTATACTGCGCCCTACTACTTTCTGACCACTTTTTGAAAAATGATGTTACTTCTTCACAGAGCATTGCCACTTGCCGCTTCAGCAGGTGAAAATAAAGAGAGATTGGAGCGTGCAGACATTCTGACCATATTTGAATTTTAGAAGGAGCAAAAGATGGTGTACTCTAAAGAAAAATTGTTATCTATTCGTGATTCATACTCCGTGGAATACTGGAAGTCGTACGCCTTGCTACTTTCTGACCACAAAGTTATTGCCTCGGCCAGTTCTCCGGTGGGTACTTGATTTTTTCTCAGACATTGTTGAACTTATTTATTCTCTCATACATTTTTTCGCGATTCTTCGGGTATTTTATCTAAAGTTTTTGGTTAATTCGTTATCGAGAAAAATGTTTTAGGACATTGGTTCTTGTCAGAAAGACAGTAGCGACTGTTCTTTTTCCAACATATCATTGAGTAAGGCAAGCGCTGGTAACAGTATATCAAATTTAAATAACAAATCGACACCTCGGAAGTTCAAGTTCTGTCGTACTACTCGGAAAAGCAGATCTTACACAAAACCGGGTTTGCTAAATATTCGTGATAAAAAGAGCAAAGAAGAATGGTATGATTATGCTATTGCTCGTTTCGGTGTTCTTGGGGAACCATTTCTTGTTAAGCAGTACGGCGACTTTGATGCGGAAGACGCCTCCTGTTTAAAAAAAAACGTTTGTTTTTCTGCTTTTATTTACGTTTCACCTTCTTTTAGTTACTTGAAAGGAGGTCTTTTAAGAAGCAGGATATCTCTAGAGTAGTTCTTTTCCTGTTATCTCCTTCTTACTTCAGATATATTTCCTTGAAGTGCTTTAGCGTTCATTATTCGATTTGGGACCTTAAAGGGAACAACCTACGTTTACTTTTTTTTTACTCATAATACTATTAGATTTTTTACAGCCTCAGGTTCTGCCATTACTTTTATGAAGTAGTTCTATTTATTGTTATTTTGTTTTGATGGTTACTGTTCAAAATTATCGAACAAGTACAGATAGCTATAACGCGAAAACTTCATTCTAATGTTGTTCCTGTTGCAGGTTCTGCCAGAAACTATCCGTTATTCACGAGACTGCCTTCTAGCTATACGCTCTAGACGAATTTCTCAAGAATGGGAGAGTTGGGCTCAGAGTCGTTTTGATACGGATAAGGAGCCTTTTCAGTTGGATCCGGCATTACGAGTACCAGTACCAGCACAATTGCGGGTATTAAGAGGTCGGGAAAAAATGCTTAGGAAAGTAAGTCAGCATTTGGGATAATAAAACTTCTGTTTTTTAAAGTTTTTTGTTAGTTAGCAGTATTGGTTGCAGCAGATTCGGAGTTTCTTTTTCAAATTCTTATCTCACAACTTCAGGCTGTGAAAGAGGACCAGAGCATTAATCAAAAATATCAGGTTGTTGCAAGCTCGCGTTTTGTTGGCGCTGTTGATCCTATACCTGGTAATATGGATGATTATGTTAATCACGTTTTATGTAGAGTAAATGAATATGATGCGAATGAGAGAAAAAGGAATTCATTAGGGCCAGTGGTTTCTACACGTTGCAGTCCGCAAGAGTTTGAGGAGGTTTTTTATTTTTGTTTTTTTTTCTTTCTTTACTATCTTTTTGATAAAGAAAAAGGTTTTTGAAATGGAGTTTAGGTTGTTTCTTCATGCGCAAGGACCCTAAAAGATACTAAGCTGAAGTTCCTTGAAGAAGTTTTTGGGTATCCTTATGTTTTAGAGGTAGAATCTATGAAGAATAAAGAGGATGAAAAGTATGTTTTTTTGTTAAAATAATGTTATTTCTACTTCTCTTCTTCTATTAAATTTATTTTTCAAATATTTTTTGTAGGAAGATGTTTGTCGATGTTGCTACTCAGGTAGGTTTGAGTATAGGAACTGCAACTGGGAATATCGATAGTTTTGAGAAATGTGAGCAATTTTCTCAACCAGAAAATTCGTTCTACTCGTCAAGTCCCGGCACAAGTCAAAAAGCTCAATCCGTTCGCATGGCGAAGTCACGTAGCTCCCCTGCAATTGAAAATTTCGATTCTGCGGTCACTTCTGATAGCTGCTTGCGTAGTCCACGTTTGGATTTCTCGAGCTCTCCTTTCTGCAAAATACATAAATGGACGGTGACCTCTGAAACTTTTCATGGTGAAGGTAGTCACGACAGTTTGCATTGCAATTATTACCATTCCCTTTACTTTTCATCATTTGAAATGTACTTGCGTTCAGTAAACAGACATATAAAAGGGTTCAGACAGGAGTCTTCGCGAGTCAGAATGGAGTATCATAAAATTTAAGGAGATGTACTGTGTACAAATTTTTTTTGCTGTTCATAATTCTTTTCGTACCAATTCACTTTGTTGATTGGTGTTATTATGGTGGTGTTATTTCTTGTGTATGACAAAAGAGCCTAAGTATTTACTGTTAGATTTCACTTTAGAAATCGGGCACTTAACAGTAAGGATCTTAATATTCTGTGATTTCTGCCAGTTGTCATTTTTTTTTTTGAAGGAAACTTTATGGTTTTCATTCACTTGAGTTTTATTTGTTATGTCAATATGCTGATTGAACCATTTAATTTAAAAAGATTGGAGTTGTTGTTTTCCTCAAAGTCACCTAATTCACAATGTATTCTTTGAAAGGTACGACAGTTTTTCTAATGGGTTTTCTTTTTAATTTGATGACTTGCTAGTGTTGCGTTGCATTCTTTCCTTAGTTGAGAGGTATGCCAATATGCTTTGGAGCGTCATTATTTTTTAAAATTAGTTACTTGATCCGGAAAGGAGCTAACTGAGAAGCGGAAATAATTTTGCTGCGTTCATCAGCGCTGATATCAAGGAGTGACATGAGTGAGACTTTGTTCCGGTTGCGGTTAGAGCTAAGCTGATACTCTTAGCATTGGCATATTATGTGGTCTACTGAAATTTGATGTTTTCAGCAGCTTGAAGGTGGTCATCTTGAATGTATGATTCCTGGTTAATCATGTTTTTGAGGGCAGATAGCTGAGTGTCAGGGGAAGCTGTTAGGAATGGTGCTGTACGAATTTGGTGAGTATCTGGACGTTCTGGTTGATG